AAAGCTAACTGTTCCGTACACACAAAAAAGGCGGGGGGTGGGATGGGAACTCCCAATTTGTTACCGGGTAATTAATTCTTATTTTAATACATTTTATTTTATGCTTATCTGAAGTCAAGTTTGAACTTTCACCAGTGATTTTACTTTTTACCTGCGACAGACTGGGATAATGTGATCAGCACCTTAACCCAAATATTTATCTATCAGCCGATACACGTCTGCAAAACAAAGTGACCGCAGTTTGCGGCTAACGTCAGTCATCTACTGTTTACCTACAGTTCCATATTTTGACACCAGCTTAACTCGATTCCACTGACCACGCTATAGGAGGAGTTATTGTATACATTATATATACTTTTTTTTTATTTATTTACTATCAAAAGACTGCATTTTACGATTTTGAGGAGATATTGTACGATTTTAGGAGTTTGGGAGTAAACAGGTCTAATGGTGACTGATTTGCGCTGAGTAAAATGAGGGTGAGGGCTAGTGATTATATAAAATAAGACGGACTCGTTTTGTGGTATTGCTGGTAGTGGGATCATTTTGTTCAAAATGGCAGGACGACCAAGAAACAATTGAAATTGTTGATCCGACGGAAATGTTTAATGGTGCAGCATTTGGCTTATACGTGAACTTTGTTCGCCAACAAATAACGTTAATACAACAATGGAATTTCTCGTAAAGCGCTTGTAACAATTGCTATGTGGCTTGTAAACTGGCTACGTATGAGAGTTCCCTATTACTACAGAGATCTGGATCTCACTGGAAACGGAATCTCACCGGAATTGGTATCCCACCGGATTGGGATCTCATTTGGATTGGGATACCACCGGAAACAGGATCTCACCGGGATCGGTATCTTATCGGGATGACCAAGATGACCGGAATTCTACCGGGATTAGGATTCTACTGGGCTCAGGATCCCACTATGACCGGGATTCTATCGGGATCCCACAATGACCTGGATTCTATCTGGATCCCAATATGACGGATTTTATCGGGATCCCACTATGACAGGGATTCTACCGGGATCGGGATCCCATCATGATCCTTCCGGCGAACGGGTTGACATGGGAAACTGGAAAAACGAAAGGTTTACATAAGTTATTTAAGTGTTTTTATAGGAGACAAATTAATTATTTTTTTTTTTAAAGTAAAGTGGTGTTTTGTTTTCGACATTTCGCTTATTAGCAATGTGAATTAAAAGGAAGTAGCAGATGTTTTTTCTAAATCCAATCCCGGGCAACTCCGGTTATATTTGATAGTAAAGTTAAAAAATTAATACATTTATTTTAACTAAGATAACTAAGATTCATCCAATTGGGCAACTTTTATAACATATCTTTTTTATTATTTCTTGAAAAGTAAATTTAAAATTCATTTTTACCTTATGGTACTTCAATAAAAGTATTTTTAAAAGTAAAATACCATCTTTTTGTTGGAATACAACAACAATTTAACACATTTTACGAGACCAAAAGACGTACATTTGCATGAATCTTTTGTCTTTTACGGCACCATTGTGTTCAAATGAGGAGAATCTTCTGTCCTTAAAGATACCTTATAAAAGTTGCCCAATTGGATGTATCTAGATTAAAATAAATATTCTATATTCATTTTTTTTATAACTTTGATTATGTCTAGGTGTCCGATATTTCTTTCTAAACAAGTGGTAAGTGGTGGGTGTAAGTTTTCTCACATTTAGGTCCCACATATTTTATGTATCTTTTATCTGTTTATTATTGTAAAATAAAGATTTTGTTTCACTAATAATTGGATATTTGTAACATGTACGTTACAGCCGAACTCTCACTTGAGGCGTTAATTTACAACCATCTCTTCCGCACATTCATAACATGGAAGTCCTTGGTAAACACAACTGATTTTAATACAGCAGCTGAACATATCTACACTTTTTGCAGAAGAAACATGTCAATGAAAATACATTCCAGCCATCTTCCCTTGCTCGTACCTACACACGCTCTCCCTTGTTCTTCTTATCTCGTGATCTTTTCTAACCAATCATTCTTCTCACGTGACAATATTCACCAAATTTCTTTATAATAAAAGGACGTTTATTTAATTTCTGCAAATTATTGTGGAACTCGCCCTTGAGGCAAATAGCAGAGGGTTGCATTAACTATAAGTATAAAATATAAAGTATAGGTGCGCTATCTCAATCCCGGGCACCCTTTTGTTATTTGTCACACAGTGGAAGGATTTGTTAATCAATAGGCCAAGATAGCGTGAAAATAAATACCTGTGACAATAAGATGTATTGCTGTACCATGGAACATTGAAATATTGAAAACAATAACATGGTAGATGATGGTGGAAGACGTTTGATATTGGTGGATGATAGATGGATGATGGTGGAAGACGTTTGATGTTGGTGGATGATAGATGGATGATGGTGGAAGACATTTGATGTTGCTGGATGATAGATGGATGATTGTGGATGGTGGTGGATAATGGTTGATGACAGTGGATGATGGTAGATGACAGTAGTTTTTGGTGGACATATTAATGACAAAGGATGACTTTGGATGATGGTGGATGATGGTTGATGTTGGTGGATGATTAGATGGATGACTTTGGATGATGGTAGATGATGGTAAATGGTGTTGGATGATAGATGGATGACTGTGGATGACTTTGAATGATGTTGGATGATGGTAAATGATGGTGGATGACTTTGGATGATGGTGGATGACAGAGGATGATGGTAGATGACGGTAGATGGTGGATGATGTATGGATGACGGTGGATGACATTGGATGATGATGGAAGATGTTTGATGCTGGTGGATGATAGATGGATATCGGTGGATAATGGTTGATAATGGTTGATAATGGTGGATGATAGATGGATGATAGTGGATGACGGTGGATGATGGAAGATGATGGTCGATGGCCATGGATGGCGGTAGATGATGGTGGATTACATTGGATGATGGTTAATGATGGTGGAAGATGTTTGATGTTGGTGGATGATAGATTGATGATGGTGGATAACGGTGGATGATGGTGGTTAATGGTGGATGATGGTGGATGACTTTGAATGATGGTAGATGACATTGGATGATGGTACATGATGGTGGATGACTTTGGATGATGGTAGATGACAGTGGATGGTGATGGATGACAGTGGATGATGGTGGAAGATGTTTGATGTTGGTGGATGATAGATGGATGATGGTGGAAGATGTTTGATGTTGGTGGATGATAGATGGATGATGGTGGATAACGGAGGATAATGATGGTTAACGGTTGATAATGGTGGATGATAGTGGATGACTTTGGGTGACGGTGGATGATGGAAGATGATGGTCGATGGCCATGGATGGCGGTAGATGATGGTGGATTACATTGGATGATGGTTAATGATGGTGGAAGATGTTTGATGTTGGTTGATGATAGATTGATGATTGTGGATGATGGTGGATAACGGTGGTTAATGGTTGATGATGGTGGATGATAGGTGGATGATGGTAGATGATGGTGGATGATAGTTGATGGTGGTGGATTACTGTGGGTGACAAAGGATGACATTAGATAACGGTAGGTGACACATCATCATCCTAAGTAATCCACCATCACACCCGCATCATCCACCATCATCATCCACTGTCATTCACCGCCATCCATCCACCGCCAACCATCGTCAGTATATTCAGTATACAACAACGATGTCAGCAAAATCGCCACACAAAAGACTAACTGGCACAAAACAAATAAAAAGTGTAAAAACTTACCTTTAATACTCTGAGAAGTCCAAGAAAAATAACCCTGAAATGTTTAAAATGTTTTAAACAGGATATCGTCCTTTTAACACAATCAAAAGTTCGTTGAACACTTTAAACTTTCTGATGTTGCAACAGAACTGAAACTCCTTTAAATATGATGAAAACAATGTGTTACTTGATCCGTACTGTCTTTTCAGTTTATGTTTGGCGCACATCCATAGATTTTCTAAGTTTTGTGTGTGCACATCTGAATCACTGGGATCAACAAAATTTCTTTCGTGCACTACAACTGAATGTATGAATATCCCATTGGACAATTGCTCTATGTTTCTATAGCCTGCCAAGCCATCTGTTATTGTGTGTGTCCCTGGCAAAACCTGTTGGACGATATTGTTTTCCAGGGTTCCAGCTGTTCTGTCTGAAACTTCCACTAGGAAGCATTTTCCAGTGGACCTTTCTATGCCACCAAAAACCCAGGGGCCTTGAAGCCATGCTCCTCTATGGTATTTCCTATAAAAATATTTTGGTTCGTCAAGCTCAACCACCATGGGCTCCCCATTATCGTCAAAGCCACCAATCTGAGTTGCATGCTGGTTCAGATAAACCCCTATATCCTCGCGAATAAATTTAAACCAGTCAATCACCGTGTTTTGGTTTTGGATTTGAGACTCATGCCTCGTAACATCTTGAGGAGAATCAATGGCGAAACAGTAGATGAGAATGACTAATTTAGATAATGGTAGATGACTCCAAGTAAAAAATGAGCCATCTCGTATACTTTTCCTCAAACGACAAATTGGACACTTCCATATATGTTTGTCAATACCTTGATTGTGGGTTGCAAGTTTACAAGCCACATTGCAATTGTTGCATTCCATTTTGTTCTTTAAAAGGGAGCGCCTTGCCAGAAATTCCATTGTTGTATTGATATTATTTGTTGCTTCACAAAGTGTGCGCATAAACCAAATCTCAGTCCGAAGTACTGCATCATTTAAAATTTCTATTGGATCAACAATCCTATTTAATCTTGGTCGTCTGGCCATTTTCAACAAAGGGATCCCACTACCATTAATACCGCAAAATGAGTCCGTCCTATTATATTATATATAATTATAATCACCAGCCCTCACTCTCATTTGTACACCGCCACAATGTAAGCAGCCACTGCTTACAAAATATTAACATAATTTGCAGAGAGAATATATTTTATGTATCAATAGCATTAAAATATAATAAGCATGTTCAATATTTTACAGGCGGTAGTGCAGCAAAATTTTTGTGGGATGGATTGCCTAAAGCTTGCACAGATTGGTCAAAATGGAGAATTTTCTCCTGTGATGAGAGACATGTCCCATTTGATGACCCAGAATGCTCTTACAGTATTTATAAATCAAATCTCTTCACAAGAGTCCCATTATCTGAGGAGCATGTTTTCCCTCTTAATCCTGATCTTTTTGGTTAGTTTTTTAATACAGTTTTCAATAATGGACAAATATTTATCATTTTGTTATCAGCTTCATACAAAACAAATCTTATTCAACTTAACAACATTTGCTTGGAATTATTTCTTCCCTTTGGTGTTATTCACCCATTTGCATACAACAATGTGTACGTCACACCTTTTCTTGTACAAAGTATCCATAACTTGTACATATGACCCATTTTTCCTTGTAGTGGAGAGTGCTGCAGAAGACTATGTGAGAAAACTTGGAATTGTGTTCACTGATGGTCTGCAAAGATTTGAGGTGTTATTTCTGGGGATGGGTCCTGATAGACACACCTGTTCATTGTTTCCTGGGCATTTTCTCTTAAAGGTTTGTGTGTTTTGAGATTTCAATACATATTGCTTTTTATGTTCATCATTCATAACTCTTTCGCTCCCATTTTTGTGATTCCTGACAAATTTTACATAAGAACTGGGAGGGTGGGCATTTTTTTTTGGGGGGGGGGGGGGGTTTGTTTTTTTTTTTTTTCCCTCATTGTAAGGGATAAAAATGTTTTCGGTATGTTTATAATGTAATGTTTGTGACAAAGACTGCAGCGTTGATATTTTTTATTCACCAGGAAACAAGTAAAATTGCTGCCGCTATCAGTGATTCCCCCAAGCAGCCGCCAAAGCGTGTGACGCTGACATTCCCAACAATCAACAATGCTGCGTGTGCTGTGTTTGCATCATGTGGCACCAGCAAGGTGGACATTGTGCAGGTGGGTCAAGGGTTTGATCTGGGGTGTGCAGAAACCTTAATGAAGTTTGAAGTGATATCGTGTTATTATTGTTGTGATTATAATCTATTGTTTTAAGTAATGTCTCATTCAAACAGTGCGTAACAAAAAGGACGATACCATAAAGAAAAACAATAGCAAAAATATGACACCAAAAACAGTTGCTAACTACAATTAATTAGATTTCTTTAAGTATTAATAATTACAAGTCAAAAGAAATAAAAATTACAAATCATCAACTTACAGTTACAGAGTATGGGAAAATCTTGTACTTGTAACGGTACACAATTAGTACAATGTGCCAATTAATAATGATGTATGACGAATGCGAATAAACAATGAGCACACAAAGAATAATACAATTGTCTGTTAAAGTTAATAACATCCATCTGAATCTCTCTCTCAATCTCTGTGTCTGTCAATACCTTATATATGCAGCGTAAGCCCTGCCTTCCAAAAGCTACTCAGCATTTTTTTACGTTTCTAGAACAAATAGCGAATGTTCAACAAGATACTTGGAGACAAACTAACCATGTTTAATTGGTAGTACGGTAGTAAACAAGATACATCAAAAGAATTCGGCCACGCCCATCTATGTAGCTATGAATCTAATTTGGGTAGAGCAAAGTTCACTCATGGGGAAAAGTGTACTACATAACAATAACAATCTCAAAAAAAATAAATTTGTATTTTAAAATTCTATATATTACAATAAATTTTTAAAAAATTAAAATATTTTTAGTATTTAAGCATACAGGTGATATATGAAAAAATGGAGGAATTTTATGAATGTGAAATAGTTTAATGATTTCCCTCTAATACTTTATTCCACTGCCAACTCACAGCACCTTTTGTACAAAAATATAGGGCTAATTTATCTCTTACAGCTTGTGCTTCTTGTACTGGATGTTGTATTCCTTGTTTGGGCATAGCCCCAAGAATCCCTGTTCCCCCATTCCTACAAACACCATTTTTAATATGAAAATTGGTACATTCTGTGTCATCCTGACATGGAGGGCAGTAATGTTTGTCACAATTTTAATTGTCTGAGTCATCCAGACATGGAGGGCTATGCTGTATATCACAATGGTAATTGTCTGTGTCATCCAGACGTGGAGGCCAGCACTCTATGTCTGATTGACGACTCAAATAATTGTGTTAAGTCGCACAGCATTACACTATTTGCTTTGCTTTGTCAGGATTCAAAAGTATTGGTTTCTGAAAAATTTGAAATCTATTGGCTAAAATACCAAATGTGCTCTCAACAATTCTTCTAGCTCTAGAGCACCTGTAATTAAATACCCTTTTCTTTAAAGATAGATTTCCTTTTGCATACGGTTTCATTAAATATTTTTTTATAGGGAAAGCTTCATCTGGGTCTATAATAAATGGTAAATCCCCTTCTATTCCTGCAACTGGCTTGTCTGGTGGAATGTTCAGTTGATTGCTACTCGGGGCTTCAGCTAACCCTGAAGTTTGATATAAGGAACCACCAGGCACCCTACCATTACACCCTACGTCCACGAAAAGAAACCTGTACTCTGCATCAACAAGAGCCAACAGAATAATGCTAAAAAAGATTTTATAATTATAATATTGTGATCCCTCATGATGAGGTTTTCTAATGGCAATGTGTTTTCCATCTATTTCTAAGGCTCCAATACAGTGTGAAAAGTTCCGTGTTCAAATTTTTTAGCAATATTTTCCCATTTATCTGGAGTATTTGGTACCTGGAAAATATAAATTCACATGTTTCTATTTATAATAATTTATATATTACCATGGTTTTTTTAAATTTGAACAATTTGTTATTGATAATATGCTCCTTCAAAGCACTAGCTGTGAATTTGATGATGAAAGCATGTTTGAATCTGATTCCATAAACAGTGGCTCCTTTCTTGATTTGTTGGAGCAAGATATTCCTTTGCAAGATAAAGAGAATTTTTCCCTATTGCAGACAATAACTAACCATAATTCAGGAAATTCAAATGAATCTATTTCAAAATTAAGTAGTCCATCAAAATCTATTAAAAATCAGTGTTGTAAAGGAAAAACCTGTGACATTACCCCTTCTGACATACTTTCAAAGTGTTCTACAGCCATAGACTGTTTAGGTAAAAGATTAGAAGGGTAAAAAAGTAAGGAGAGAAAAGTTACAGACAACCAAATTTTTGGCCAATTTGTAGAGAGATCATTAGACCAAATAGCAGATGAAGACTTAATTAATGAAGCAAAGTATTAAATCCATAAAACTTTAATACATATATTGAGAGAAAAAAAGAGAGGGAAACATAAATTCTTCATAACAATCATATGTAACTTTTATTAATTGTGATTCAATTTAAATTACAACTCAGTTTGTTCAATTACTTATATTTAGATAATTAAAAAAAAACACCTTTTATTTAATGAATTACTTATTTAACTTATTAGTTGAGAGCTTGGTTACTTTCTACTTATTGCTTCATATTCCCCTTACTATTCATAGTAACATATAACAATATAATACCGGGTAAATGCTTATTAATAAAAAGTCTGCTGAAAAAACCTCCATTATCATATGAGATTTACATTTTTACATTTATAAATTTATAATTATTATTTCAAATTTGTCATCAAATAATTATGGTACAATCACATATTTATTGCAATTTGTTGGTTTACAATCAGAAAATTAAATTTTAATTCATCTATTATTATGTATTATTATTATGTATTATTACTCATTAGCTGCTTTAGGAGGTAAAGCAATAATTATACACTATTTAAAATAAAGTTATTTCTGCACACAAAAGTCTTATCATAATATTATGTTTATTTCATCATGTTGCCACAAATATGGTTGTAAAATAACTTATGTGGGTTAACCTGCGCAGTGAATATACTTCAGATAATAAATATTATTATTTAAAATTTATATTTTCCATGTTGTTTTCAATACATGTAATTGAGATTTATGTATTTAATTATTTATTTAAATTGCTCACACCATGTTGTCTTAAACTGTGATTAAATTTATATTTGTTAACACTATTATTAAATCATATATTATTTATTAACAGTTTTCAATCAAGACATTTATTAATAAAATTTGTTGTTGATAAATTTATTTTTCTACTTTGTCCTTTTTGATTGAATGTGTGTATACTGTAAGTAAAACCTATCACTCACCTCCATAAAACTTTCAAGTGAAGATGATATTGCTATGCATGTTTCTGGGATAATCTTGGCAAGTGTACTTTTACCAATTTTATGATACAATCCCAAATCCTGGAAAGTCATCCCTATTTGAAAAACCATTAATTAGAAATTTTATTAATTTAAGAGGACTACTAATATTAAAAATTATCATATTTTTCTTAAGTATAAATTAGTTTATTTAAATTGGCAATAACATAATAAGGTTTTATTATTTTTTATTACCTCAAATTAAATGTCATATTTTTATAATATATTTAGGCCTATATATTATTAGGTATTACTTTACATTACTACTCTTAATCGTATTACAAATATTTACACTTTATAATTTATAATAGAGCGCATCATAGTCATAGGCTCCTCTAAACTTTCAGAATTCAAATTTCATTCACAATGCATCAGTTATAATTAAAATGTTCTTAATAGTAACAGTGTCAATAAATCAACATTGTTATAAAATTTAAAAGCCTACATATCAATTAATATCAATGAACATGTTTTCTATTAAAATAATAATTATTAATAATCGCATTAAATTTAAATTTAATTTCACTAGCTAATCAGAACTCACTTCAGTAATTCTTACCTTACCTGATGTAAGATAGCCAAGAGTTACAAGTCTAAGTTCAGGAGAAATAGGTTGTCTTGGTTTAGTCTCCATTTTCTGTATGAAAGGACGTACACGGGTCAGTAGATCTATAAATGTATTTTCATTCATCTTCAAAAACCTTTTGTAATTCTCGGAATCTGTAAGTAAAAATCTTAATTCTCTTGCCACTGTTCTGCAGGCACACAACTTATTTCTTTCTAAAACTACTAAAAGATGTTGTCTTCTACATAATCTCTTCTTACAATTTTTTTATTTAATTTTGTCATTTTCTATTTCATAAGCAGATGTCGTTACAACTGTTATTAAGGCAGTACTCAAAATTTCCAATTCTGATTTTTCACTCAAAACATAACAGTTTTTAATATAGTTAGCCATCGTGTTATGGTGGTGCTTGGTCACGTGATTTCAATTTCATGTGGAAGTTGCCTTGATAACCAGTAATATAAAAAATTACACCGTAGTCAATGTAAACACACCATCAGGAACTTATATTTAGTGTTTGTTCACGTGATATGGAGGTTGCGTAATAATACTAATATAATTTGCATACCATCACAATTTTATCAATTCATGATTTGAAAGTAGTGTGAAAAGGCTTCAAACATAGATTGCATCAAATGTTTGAAGGAGAATTTGATAGTGTGAACCGACGCTAAGCATCTGTTCACACGATCAAATTAGCTTCAAATTTCGCATCAAATTTGTGTATTTATAAACGCACTATTTTGTATGTTTTCTTTTTTTTTTTTTTTTTCATCAAATTGTAATGTGAAATTTATGACAAGCCTTCATAAAAAAAGTGTGAACCGACGCTAAGCATCTGTTCACACGATCAAATTAGCTTCAAATTTCGCATCAAATTTGTGTATTTATAAACGCACTATTTTGTATGTTTTCTTTTTTTTTTTTTTTTTCATCAAATAGTAATGTGAAAGTTATGACAAGCCTTCATAAAAAAATCGCATAAATGTATAATCGAAAATTTGATCGTGTTGCTGACCCTAAGTCCCAGAAGAGTTTCGAGTGAAATATTGTCACTCTGAAAATCTATTTTATGTTTTTCTACCCCTATTATTAACAATTTAAAAAAAAATTATAATGTGTAAAAATAATAATACATTTTAAAACTTTGATAAAATATCATTTATTTTAACTTTCCCCTGCCCCTGCC